CCGATTAGTGGACGACCCACTCTGCCTCTGAGCCACAGCCGCCCCAAAAGTGCAAGAATGAATGTTGCCTAGCACCAGATATTCTGACGCTGGTGTTTAAAACTATCCTTGTCTCCTAGAAATTCCATTTATAGACAACTAATTTGCAACATTTGCACAACCAATGCCAACCAAATTATGTTTTTTATTAACATAAGGAATAAGGAAATGTTGTTAAGTAATGGATGCTGCAACAAGACCTGTCGTAACCTGTTTTATAAATATGATTTTAATATATTCAACTTGTTTCCACATCCTAAATCTTTACCTCTGTGCGAAACTTCTTAAGCATTGCCAGAGACTCAAAGTAGAGGAAGTCGGACCATTCGATGTGACCCTTTTTCTCTGGATCCAGCGCTGCAAACTGGGCTAGGACTTCCTCCTCTTGCTCATCAGTCAGGTCCTTATCAAACTGCTGCTTGGATGCAAAGTGGCGGTACTGCAGCAGCTCATCTGACACCAGGCATGATTCTAGAGCGGCAAAGAACAATTCATCACATCATACCTAATTAGTTACCTAGAGGTCTTGCAGACATAATTAACTTATGGTGACTCATTCTTTACAAAGGCAAGACCACCTCCCACTGATTGCCCTCATGAAATAATACGGCACATTTGGAAGTAGACAAGAGTCACGGCCAATAATGTAACAACTGTTATTTTTTACTATTATTATCTGTGGTATGTGTTTAAGTTTATTGCCATATGCATGTAAAATTGTTGGGCAGGCAAAAGATACCGCACTGATATCTGTCTTGATTAAGAGACATATTGTCACGCAGATATGGAGAAAGTTGAGTTATTGCTGGATCCTGTCTTTTTTTTCCCTCATTATTATAACTGCCTCTAGTTTTGACAAAAAAACAAAAACGGGTAACATCAGCATGCCAACATGCTAACAATGACAATTCCAACATGCTGATATTTCACAGGCCTAATGTTTACCATGTTCATCACCTTAGTGTAGCATGTTACCAGGCTAATATTCACTATTTACCACTAAACACCAACATTTTTATCTGATGATGGTGCTAGAAGAAAACTCACCAAAGTTATCACAGTTCATATATTTCAGGCTGGACCAAAGTGGTGGTCCGACCCACTGACCTAAAAACATAATTCCCTAACTGCCAAATGTTTAATAATTGACTGTCTCGTATTACACTGCCAGACTTTAACTAAATGTATTTTCTAACCTTGATTCAGTGACTCACCTGGGATGATCTTGCACTGCTTGAAGGTCTCCATAAGGCTGTACATCTCTTCCTCTGTTAGGAGTAGATTCAGATTATCCTGCAGGTAAGGGCAGATGAGATGAGGGCAGTGAATTACACTTAATAAAAAAGTGATGCTTACACAATTTCTTTTATAGTCAAGTAGTACATAACTTGATGTTTAATAAGTGAGTGTGCTCTAATTATGTGGAGTTAGTCCCCGATGTGCCTCCTGTAATTAGCCATAAGCATACAAAGTACTGGATTGTGAATCCATTTCAGCAACTATTCTGTTTCCCAGGTGATTCACATGATGTTCTGGTCTATCTCACACACTCTCTTTATAATTATATTGTTAGTAAAAGAAAGCCAGAAAGCCAGAAAAAAAGGATACTTCTCATCTAATTTAAATTTAATCATTTAACTGCAGAGTGTTATGAGGCTTGATATTTCACACATTTTTATATTATGAAAAAACCTTTAACTAAATAATTATGTGTTTTGTTAGTACATGCACATAGTATCATGCTTTTCTTTTCCAACACTTATGTCTGGAACTAGTTTACACCCATCGTACTTTAATGGTAAAGGGCAGAAATGTAAGCATCAGCTTAAGTACACAAATCAGAGATTTCAATTATATATGTAAGTATATCCAAATGTTATGTGGCTAAATTGGGCATTTATTTAGAATTATGGAAAATTAAAGTCATGTCTGTAAAGATGTGTGTAATATATATATATATATTTTTTTTTTTTTTTTCTTCCAAGCCTGGTGTCAGCAAATCTACAATCAAGGAAAATCACAGGAGACACTGATTTGAATATTTATATTTGTATATTATGTGTACATTATTTATCAGATAAGTGGCATGATGAACATTTAATGATCCCTTTGGGATTATTGAGGTAAATCAATTCCAGTTTGTTTACATAGTCCCTAATCACCATTATACAATCTGTCAGGGCTTCATACAATTCACATCATGAAATCTAAATAAAAATGCCCAACCGCCAACCCTTACAAAAATAAATAAAAAAAAAGACCCTCGAGCTCAGCAAATAACTGCAAAATCAAAGAGGGATATGTAATAACAGGGAAATGGATAATAAGCAGATATGTCAGTGTCAAACAGCAATTATTACAAATTTTGTTTGTTTGTTTTGTGTTTACTTTCAGTCTGACTTACAACTGTTTGAGATCATTTCTTGAATCTGCATTTCCCAAATATCTACAACAGATGAGGTAAGTAGGAATGGTAACAATTAACAAAAATGAAATTAACAATATGAGAAGTCCAGGGGGCTTATTAAAACACTACTCAAACATAACTTCCCCTCACCCACACACTTGCCCTTACTGGACACCCCCATCCCCAGCTTTTAAGTTCACTTCACTCGCTGACAAACAAGGTCACATGGCCTCATTATATCAGACACTGGGAGCTAAACACGTGCGCCAGCAAACTGTGATGTCCTTCTGCATATCTTCAACCTGTCATCAAGATCGCAGTATCTTTGCTACCCCATTGTCTGCAGCATTTACAGATCAGCAGTGTGTACTATATGTTTAGCTATTTATTTATTTATTATTGCACTGCCTTAAATACTACCCAGAAGTTCCTGCTAATATCTGGGTGCTGCAAGTGGGTGGTTAAGCAGAACTCAATAATTTGAAGACAGATACAGGAACCTCCCTCATATAACTCATTCATATGATTTTTCTTTCCTTTAATTTGTGCACTCACTCATCCAGGATTAATTTACACATATCTGCCCCTAGTGGCCATCCCAAGGTCAAAGAAGTCTACAAGTGAAACACTGAACCAGGAAAACAGACACGTCCTGTCTGCAGCACTTCAAAAAAGTGTGGGCATGCCGTCTGGGACACTGTGTCCTTGCTAAGATTTTGATATATATCATTTTAACAGGGTGTAACCATTCATTTAAAGTGCCTTAGCTGAGCGACAGCTATGAGCACACACACCGTTGGTGTCTCAATGAAAACAGCCTCCATGCTTTCTTCCCCGTTGTTTTTTTACTTCTCCTCTGGTGGCTGCTCTGCATTTTTGCAGTTTTTGTGCAATCACAAAAGCCATTGAAAAACCCAACATGGATACATTTCAAGAAAAGACAGCCAGTTCAGCATGTAAAAAAGAGCTGTAGCACCATAAATGCCTTTAAATCTCTTGTGAGTTTCATAGGTAAATTATGTTAATAATAATAACAGCTATGTGTTTCCCATCTCTCGTATACAGTATGTTACACCAAATATCAAGCTCGAAACACAGCAGAGAATCAATAGCAAGAACAAAACAAAAAAAAAAGATCATGCTGTCATCAGGAATCTGTATTCTTTGTTTCTATGCCAGACATTGTTTCTGTGCATCTCTAATCTGCAATGTTCATCAAGCATTACCACTAGTAATAGCAACTGTCAGCTATGGATGCTATAATTATATAGTTATGTCAGAAATTAGCAACCTTAAAAGTGATTTAAGCATTCATGCAACATTTCATGACAACACATGGAAAATAGGTTCTCCAGGGCAAAAAAGTCCCCTGGGGGAGAAAATGTAACAATAATAACACATTCTAACCTTATTCTGGCAGCTTGCATAAATAGTTATTTAAGACTGTCCTGTTCAGAAAAATGACAGCACTGATTCTGTGTTCAAACAGCTTTAAATAATCCAAATGTAGGCTCAGTGCCAGAGCAGGAAGTTTAATGAAAAATATATTCTCATTCTTATTCTTCTTATTGATTTCAAAGCTGCAAGAATCAATATGTCTACACGAACAATCAATCAGATGACTGTGTGATTATGTCATAAAATAAGAGAATTAGCACCCAACCCTGCAGTTTCCCTTGTGTCTGTGGAGTCTTTTAGTCACTTTTAGCTCTCTGTTTTGCAAACTCCACTCTCATTAACCTCATTTCCAGCTGCAGCAGGAGCAGATGCTCTTAGTGAAAAAAGCTCAGATAAGCCTGTTTACTAGCTTCCTAGAAACATCTTGCAGCTAAAGAGTGAGAATTCTTTCTTAGGAGTTGGTGGAGACGAACCAGAGCTAAAATGAGAGTGAATATTGGTCTTATATTCATCAAAGCGGAGATAAACAGGACTCAAAATGAATGCGTAGCTTTCTCCATTTCATTCACACATCCAGCATGTCAGCTGTAAATGCACTCTTTAACAGGGGCTCCTCAACCTTGACTGAAGCATGGCCCCAGGATCTAGGAACAAGCATCAAAAAGAAGTGGGTGCTATAAAGGAGGGTCATTTGTGTTCCTGAACCCTTCCAGCGTCTGATTGGCTGCCATTGAGCCATACATGCAGCAGTCTGCTTTGAAGGCTGACTGTAAATCCACTTTCAAGGAAACCCAGTCCATCTGCCAGCAGCAGTCTGCAGTGCCTGTGTGAAATTAAATGTCAGATGCGACAGACGGGGGGATTTGTAACAGCTAACTGACGTTTGCTAACAAAAAAGCTGGATTCTTTAGCTATGAGGAAGACTAGAATTCAAAATTTAAATAAAACATTTCCCTCTCTCTCTCTCTCTCTCTCTCTCTCTCACTGAATTGTCTCCTTCCACCTTCATTCCTCACACACTGAAGTAGTCCACCAGAGAAAGAGGACCTTTCAGAGTCCTCTCTCAGACTGTGTGAAAACATCCCCCTCTAAGCGCAACTTTGGCAAGTGATTTTGCTTCTCAGGGCTACTCCACTCTGAAGGGTCATCCAGCAAAAGCACTCTTCAGCTGTTAATGCCTGAATTAAAACAGATTGCTTTATGCCTCTAACAGGGTGGTGATCACCAGAGAGTCATCGGTTTTGGCAGTGGCCTTGAATTCCTGATGAGAGGCTGAGCAATTGTTTTATTGTTTTAAAAAACACTGAAAACAATTCCAGAACATTTCCTCACTTTATTTAAACTGATGTGGTCTTCCAATAAAAACGTGAAGCATAGTTGTGCAGAACAATAGCTTCTGTCATACATGGAACATGTGCAGCAACTCAACAGTAATTACTTGCTGAAAAGCCACGCTAAACCTTATCTCACCAGTGCTGAAAAACATGGCTAGATACATGACTTTTTAAAACCCTTTGAAAGATGCACACTGTAGAGCGCTGTATGCCAGCCAGCCGCTCGCCTGTCACAACAGGGATGGTCCACATTCCAACAATTTTCATGCATTAAAAAGAAAAAGGCAATTGGAAAGTTTTGTAAATGCTTACATTGCTACAGCCGCAGCTTTAATTATAACTGTATATAACAGTGCATTAACAAGCTGTATCAAGGGAAAGAACACTTGATTTGTTACTATGACAACCGTCGCCGGAGAACTTTCTGAGCCGTAGCTAATTAATGTTGCTAACTCACAGAGCCATCGTTAGTGATATTAGATCCACCTGTGCTCTTCCTGCTATGACAGGTCAAAATGTCTCCTGTGAAAAAAAGCCTACTGGCAGCTAATGGCCTGTATAATTGTACGTGTTCTCTGCATGTCTTTACACTTGGATAAAGAAAAAGATGGAAAGAAACTCCTCTTTGTATCACTTTTGATGTTTGCAAAAGGAAGAAGGAATGGGCTCTGTCTGTAGCTAGCAGGTAGTTCAGCAGTTGTGGAGTGTAAATGGCCCACATCTGGTAAAGGGGGTTGTTGGAATCTCCCAGTGAAACCCACATTATATCACAGCTTTAATTATTCAAACTCTGGACTTCCAGCACTGCAGCACAATCTCTCTGCGAAGCTAATCAGAGCTCAAACAGCTATAGCACTGTCAACATAAGATGCCGTCAGTCAGATGTCAAAACCCTGTCAGATGTGATTTAACAGCAGTTTGTCATTATTACCGTAACTGGCCAACTAGCATTTGATTAATCTAACGCCACTTTTGGATGTCATGATCAATGTTATATTTGTTAGCCTATATCATAGGAATTTAGTAAATAATATGCAAATTTGCATTTTTATTTTAGGTCTAGGTACCAATGATGAAAATTACCTTTTTTTAGGACCAACTAAGCATTCTTAAAGTTAGTTGACACCATAAACATCCTTAGTATTCGTATGTCTGCAGTCTCTGAGTCACGATGCTGCTATTTATACAAAGTAACAGTGTAAAGTAGAATGACGTTTGATGCTGATCTTGGATACACGTTGTGTCTACATGCTGCAGCAAGGTAGTTGCCTCATTGTCTTGAGTGAGAAACAGGATCAAATGGTGACAAAAAATTGTCAAATCAAGAAAAGAGAAAAACACAGCTGAAATAATCCACATGCCAGTGGAACACGCATTAACGCTGAAACCTACATGGTGTATTTTCTGGTACATCTTCATGCATTTGCATTCATGAAACTTGAACATTTGTTGTCTATCTAGTGATGGTGGCAGTGAGCTGTGCAGACTTACACAATAGTAGCAGCTCCAGCCAGTAACAGTGTGGGCTGTGTCTCTCATCTCCTGCAGGGCCTCGGCACGCAGGTAGCCCAGCTCCCTCAGGCAGCCGTCGTGGAACACCCGAGTGCAGATCCTGCAGGGGTACAGGTCGTCAGCCGTCCACACCTCACACACGTCACACATCTCATCACTCGGTGGCTGAGGGAAAAAAACAGAGCAGTCAGTGTGTCATTTACATGAAGATTTTAGTTTCAAACACAGACTTGAGGACTGTCCATCAAAGTTCGAAAAGACGAGACATCAATCCATCAGTGGTAGGAGTGTAGTTTGATAGTGTAGTGTGATGGCTATTGCATGATGTATTGTATAATGTAATGTATTTGTATTTTTTGCTCATGGCCTTGCATAGATAATTAAGACAGCATTGCCACCACATGAAGACTGATACCTGTGTCTAACATGTCCTCATTGTCTGTCTTTATACAGTTTCCCTGTAGACTCCATTTACAACCAGGATACACTCAGCTGTCAAGCCAGGGAAATGACTGCAAAATGCTTGACTGGTTAACCATGCAAAGACATTGTCAGTTTCCAGCCTTGCTGTTTTTTCGTTGTTTTTTTTTCTAGTTCAGTGCCACAGCACCAGCTTCTGGGTTGTTGACATATCACAGATGAGAGCTTGTCAAATTTCCTCAGTCGCAGCTTATCTTATAGTTCTGGCCCACCTCTTGTGACCTGATGACTGTATTTACATTAACAAGATTCCTGCTCCATGGTCCCAGTCAAAATGAGACCTAGGCTTTCAACAGGACCTACAGTATAACTTGTGGGGAAGGTCATTCATCAACTTCCAAGATGCAGGAATTTATCTCAAAATCAAGACTAACAACTGAAGTGCCCATACAGGCTTCAATTTGCATTATGCCACACAGTACTAAATGTATATAGAATGTGACACGTAGCTACTGACTTTACTCTTAAACTTAGTGGGGCATAGAGAGAATGAATTCTTGTCCTAAAGGAAAGGTCATGAAGTCAACCAAACAGTGTCCAGTGTGTAACATATATTTGCAGATATGGAATATAATAACTGTTTGTAATCCATTATAATCACCTGAAAATAATATAAGACAAGATAATATAAAATAAGATAAGAAGGAACAAACCAAACACTGGCACTAGACATGTTGTTTCACAGCCACCATACTTTCTCCTTTGTGCTTGAAAGGGGAGGGTGAAACAACGAAGTTGCAACCTGCAACCTCACCACTAGATGCCACTAAAGCCCACACACTGGTCCTTTAAAGTTCAAGAAAGTATATATTTCAAAACCAAACAACAAAAGAAAAAGCATAGAATCTACTGGGAAAAAATATATATTAAGATGGGCTGAACAAATTCAAGAATAAAATAAAATCCACTCGAATAAAACAGGATAAGGATTTTAGATTTTTGTTTGTTTTAATGTGTACTGATGTACAACTATGTGTCATGGACATAAAACTGAAAAGCTACAACATGTCTATATATGTGGGTAAGGAAGCAGGCTACGGGGAGAAAATATCTGGTCCCAAAATTGGGACCAGATATTGACATATTTATATATATTTCAATGACTTATTTGACAAAAGAAAATTTGGAGGCAGTTCCTAATGGAGATACAGAACTTTCAATGTGCCATATATAGATAGATATAGATACCAACAGATACCATTCAGTTTTAGCCTTTCAGAATTCCCAAGTTAATATCTATTATTAGTGCAAAGTAGACACTTTTATTTCTGTACCTGTTAAAGTGCAGCTTTGGAAGTACAGCAAGTTGCCAGGCAATGTTTACTCTTTGCAATATAAAAAACCCGATGGTGTCAGTGCTCCCGTGAACTCCATCCCCTGTTAGTCAGCGTCGCCCTGAATATGGTCACCTCTCTGAGCCAGCAAAAGCAGCCCGCCCACAAGATGTGCGCTGTGAAGAGTCCTCGTAGACAACAACAACACATCTCACAGCTAGTGTGGAAATGAAAGTCTTGCAGAAAACTACTTCAAACTCATACTTTCTCACCTCCAACAAGGGTGTTTAGATAAAGCTTAAGAGTCTCTTTACAGCCTAGCTGAACTGCTTTATCATAATGCCTAACTTGAGGGAGGAAAAGAGATAACATGCTGCTGTTGCCATGGAGATTCTTTGACATCTCAGAGGCATCTCTTTAATCCCAGGACTTGTGGATTTATACTGTGTGTTTTGTCAAAGTAAAGGGTATTTTTTTATATATATTCCTGAATAACACCCTAACCATGAATCCTCGGTGACACATACTAAGATCACTAGACACCGCTCTATTTAGACCATCATTATAATACCTGCTCTTTCTTTTCCAGCTCCACCTCCACAGACTGGTCATCATCGGCTTCCCTTTTGGGCCGCACGAATGCTGGCGGCGTGAGCTGATGGCTCTTGTCAAGATCTTCAGGCTCTACTCCTTTCCCGTCCCGTAACCTCGACCACGCTTCCTGGTTGACCTTGCAGTCATCCCTGGCTGCCGCTGAGCCCTGCTGGGTGGTTGACGGACCTGCGCTGTTGTCTGTTTCCTCTTGCTCCGCCCCCTCAGTGTTCTTCTTTTCAGGATTGGCTGATGGTTTAGCAGGGCCTTCACCTTCCTCTACTTCTCCTTCTGCCTGTTTGGCCGGGGCAGGGCGGTCCTTAAGGCCCGCCTGGAAGGCAGAGACGACAGCGTTGCATTTCTGCACCTTCTCCACCTGCTGCTTCTTTGACATGAGCACTCCCATGGCTACAGACAGATGGAGAGAGAAAGAGGCAGAGAATAGTTACACAAGTAGGCTACACTTAGAACCGTACAGTTATTATCCAAGATCAAACCCACTAAAAACTTGGCTTAAGCATTGTAATATACTAAATATGCATGGCTAAATAAGCAATAATAAAAGTTAGAGCGAACAAAACATCCCTGGGAATATTTTTTCTAAGAGATAAACTCAACAAGTCAGCTAATCTGCTTCATCAGGACTATGCGGTTGTGGTTTTATCAGGCAGTGGTGGTATCATAAGCAAACAAGCACATAGCTGTCAACAGATTGTGATTCAAAGATTCCTTCCAACAATTGGAGCATGGAAGTATATGGCATCATCTATTTTTGATTGAGCTCTACCTTACAGTAAGAAGGGCACAAATAAAAACATAGAAATTCTAACATGAAAAAACCAAAACTGTTCCAACTCTGGCAGAAATTGTGTGTTCATGTGGGACCACGTCCCCCATAGTAATAAGCTGATTAAGAAAATGGGTCTTCAGGGCCTTTAACTTACCTCGTGTTCAAGACAAATACATATGCACCTATAGTATATGTCAATAAATGCACAGCCATGTACAGTGGATACACACATGAAAGCTCTTTATTGATACCTCCCATCAAAAGGACATGTACTACACCACATCAGTGGTTTAAAGAATGGGTAAACCTTGTTGAAAAAGAGCTGATAGAGGAACAGAGGTACATAGCAAGGGTGGTAAACTAACTAAAGGATTCTTTGGTGCACAATAACTACAAGGTGAGAAAGACAAGTTGCAGTCAAACATATGAGATCATCAACCTATGAAAATATTTACTCTGCTTGCACATCGTGTGTCTTTCTCTTTTTGTACTCACTGAAAATCTCAGCCCCTTTCAAATTTCCAGAATCTCTTTCTATCAGCAACAATGTCCCTGAACACTTCTCCTTATTACTCATAAACCTTGCCCATCTGCTCCTGTTCCCACATTTCCGTGGTTGTTCCATGATGCAGATATTGACTGAAATTAGGTTTCTGTTTGCATTATTCAAGTGACAAATACAAAAGTTGCAAACTAAGAAAGTAGGTCTCACAACACACTGGGAAAAAAAAACAGATTGCATATTTTCATATACACCTGGTAAGAGATTTCAAATTCCAAATAAGACCTGAGGGCCCCTGCAATAGTGGCAGATGTTTGAGACAACATAAGCAAGCCGGTCTATGTTGCTTTCACATGCAAACATTCCTCTTCATATCATCGCAAGAAAGGGATACTGTACATTCAGGTTAAAATAATACATAAAGTACTAACACACACGCTGTTTCTTCCACACACACAGAGCCTGTAACCACTCTGTAACTACTGGCCATTTAACCCTAGGTTTTGGTTTATTTCTCTAGGTTTTGAGATATGTGTCTTCATCCTAATACAATGTAGGTAAATGGAATGTTATTTGCAGTACTCACACTAACAGAAGACCAGCAGTGTGTCTCTCCACAAACAATACCCGAGTTACTTTTGGAAGACCCCACTGTGACGAGTTTTCATTGGAACAACTTTCTACTGAAGAAATAGTCTATGAAAACTGTTGACTGGCGTCCAATTGTCGGCGCAGCAAAGATGAGACTTTGTTCCATTCCATTATATAAGCTAGAGGCAACAGATTCAACCATGTAAAGGTTGCCAAACATACAGAAGTGTCCAGAATTATCATCAGCCCATGGTTTTTTATTTTACACATATCCCTGTTTCCAGCAATGTTACAATGATACTTTAGGCTAAATAAGGTGTTTCCCCAACCAAATTTCCTAAATTGGTTAGTGATTTTTGCTGGTGTGACCTTACTCCCAAAGGTCACCCCCTTTTAGCCGGTGGGTGGTAAATTAACCTCAATAATAATGCCAGATTTAGCTTAGAATACAGAAAATCCCAAGAGAGTTAACATTTGCTGTGCGTGCATATGAAATGTGTGTTTTTTGATCCCACAGCAGAATCAGACAATCACCACAACTTGCTGAGCTCAGCCAGCCTTGGATTTCTGACATTGCCTCTCTTCAATTCAAAATCAACTGTTCACCAAATGAAATGGCTCCAGATAAGATCAGCTAAGATCAACTGTATTGATCTCCGAAGAGAAAATTAACTTCACTCTCACTGCAGGATTTCAATGAGTTTTTGCTGGTTATTAAAGCAAACACCTTTAGACTGCTGAGCCTTTGTCTGAAACGACAGGACAATGGGATTTTTACAATGTTATTGTTACAGTTCTTATTTGATTTTATCGCAATAAAAAAGCAAGGGCTATCAATTGAAGCATATAGATGCAATAAGCTATTTATTATGAGACTCAGACATGACAAAATTGTGACTGACTTACTGTTGTGCTGGACTACGCAAAACCTGCCATCTCATGCATTTCCAAACCAACTATTTCTAAACACATTAAGTGAAATCATACACTGTAAGATGCAGAACACCGTGCAGCAAAGAAAAAAACAGATGCAGAAACTGACTTAGGTCTCATTTCCACCTAAGTGAGACACAACCGTGAATTCCATTATTGAAAACAGGCGCCTGTCATGGATTCAAGTTGATTACATGGTACTTATGGGACATGTGTCTTTGCTCTCAAATGCAATCCCATCCATCCACGCTCCACATAAGTGCTTGTGTGAAATTCAATCGCATTTATCTGAAGTGAAATGGGAGTCATTCCCTCTCTCCTACTCCCTGGCTAAGACTCTAATAGTCTGTCGGGCCTTATGTTCTCCGGCTGCTGGTGGACTGGCTTCATAGACTGCAGAGTGACACTCATCTGTATTGCACAGCACTGTCTCTGGTTTCAGACATTTAAACAATTACAAAAAGACCTCCTAGAGTGAAATGGTAAAATGACGTCACAGTTACACAAAAATGAAAATTGAATGCTCCTTTATTTCTTTGTTCTAGTTTGTTTTCCTTTCATGCAGACAAAGCTGAGGCAAAGTGATACTCCATTGATTTCCGCACTTAATATCTATTATGTCTGGAGTCTCTCTAAAGCGAGGTCAAAGGTCAAGTCAGTATGAAGCATAGCACTCCGGCAGCGGGTTGGGGTTTATTATTAGAAATGTGTCCCATCAGACACATTTTAACCATGCTTTGGGTAAGTCGCATGTCCACGCTGGAAAAAACGACAACATGAAGTATACTCCAAACTGCCAACATGCTTACTAAAATCACTCAAGTGTGTTATTGATGGAATGTATTTTTCCACTGTGCAGAATAGAAATAGAGGAGGTGCTCAGAGTTGGACAATTAGCAGTTACAGGTCAGAAAACAAACAATAAACATGAAAAATAGCTTTTACTAGACTCATGTATAACTGACAAGCCTTCCTCTGTGGAAACATTTAGACACACATATTGTCTTCCTCAAGGGCAACCACTTAATTTAAAAGGTCAGTCTTCCTAGTAACAACGCCCTCCTGCAGTCTAATAAATGAGAGCAACATGATGTGAATATACAATGATTAAAATACACATATGCAGGCCTGTGGAATACTGTTATCCTAACTGCAGGAATGGCAATCAGCTCAGTGGGTTTAGCACAGACAAGCTTAGGCTGACAGGTCCCATTATTTTAATGCAGGAGTAGTTTGGATTGGGTTTTAGATAACAGGGAAAAGAGGAAATAATAGAGAGTTTACAAGCCAGAAAATCCCTACCTGCTGTAGTATCACACTCTCACAATATATCCCTTGAAGGAATCGAACAAGCGTTGCGGTAATTGTACATAGTATGTACTTTATCTTAACCTTCCAACAGTACAGTACTATATGTATATGTGTTTTAAAGGTATGAGCATGTCCTTGTATGCTTACACCTAATGAACAGAGCTGTGCATCCCTGGTCTGCGTCCCATATTGGAGTATATTCTGCCCTTTACAGGGAACTGACATCATCAAAAATCATTGCCTTAATAAGTCTGAAGGCATGATAGAATTACTACAATAGAAAAGAGGAAGAAAAAACACATTTTGATTGTTGCTATTTTGATTGTAAAATGCAGGGAGCTTTACTTCTTTGTCAACATCTAAGAAGGGAAGATCCCCATTGGCGAGAACGTATTATGTAAACTATAGGAAATAGGGGGCAAATTTCATGACAACCCATCCAACAGGTTGTTAAAATATGTCAGGAGTTGTAGTGGCATCTAGCTGTGTCGTTGCTGAATGTAACCCCCTCGCATCACCTTTCCTTAGCACATAGTTGCATCTCTACACTTAGTTTTAGCACTGTGCCAGTGATGGACAAAGGTCTGGCTAAACTCATTAGCATTATCATAGGGGGGAAATGCTGGCTTGTTTGAATATCTTTAAACCAATCACAACTCTCTCGGGCAGGGCAAAGGCCAGGATGCAGCAACAGTAAAATGGTAACACGCAGATAATGGAAGGGGAGGAGAATTCAAACTGAAATAGTCAGCCAGGCTCAAACAGCCTACTTAGTGTGAGTCAAACTAACCTCATGGTGGTCCTAGTGGTAAAGTCAGGATATCACCAAGTAGTAGGTTTCATCCTCTAGAAACCATGAATGTCTACAACATTTCATGGCATTAATCATCTGTCCACACCAAAGTGGTGGACTGACTGACTGACAGTCACATTGACATTGTCAGACAAATACTCGCTTGAATATAGTTTGAACTACTTGAATATATTAAAATCTCTGAGGACAATTTCCCAAACAGCTCATACATGCACTATAAAAACAATTTATGTAGCGCTCACAATACAAAATGGCACAGTCATTATTATAGAGACTTAATTATCCACTAAAGTGACCTTCCCATTCTGGCTCAGAGCAGCACTGGCGCAGACATTAGACAGTGACAGCCTTTAGATGCCAGAGATGCCTGCGAGGACCAGATTGCAAACTGCAGCCTATTTCACATGAACCAAAGGGAAAAGGCAAGTTTGAAAGCTTTTGCATGCTTGAAGGCAAGGCTTAAAATAATGGTATGGTTGATATATTGGTTAAATGCTGCTACCACAGCTGGATCCACAATTACTGTGCAATGCAGATAATGGACCATGCCATTTGAAATGAGATAATCAACAATAAACAAATTGTTCTTTAATGGCCAGCAAAGTGAATAGGCTTCATAAACAGTAGGGGGAAAATAAGAAACAATAACAATAAGCTAAGTGCTATTACAAGCCCCAAGGTCTTTGTACACTCCATCAAATCAATCCCAAAAATAAATAGCATAAATGTTATTATCCTTTGAAAGGGATTTAATTTCTCCACTATAGAACAAAAACTATATATATAGATCAGAAAAGCAAAGAGGGAACAATGGTTTGCATTCTTCAAACCGAGCAGGAAGTGAAGCACTGCCGATGAAGACGCATCTGAGTACACAGACGACCTTGTCACTTTCAGGTTAACTTATGAATTTTAAATAAGGGTGTTACTTTTTTTATTCTCCGTGCACAAGTCGAGTCTGACACAAATGGGTCAGTGGCTGGCTTTGATAGCTCAGTTTATTAGATAGTGATGAGTAACCTGCCACTTGGTTGCCTTGCAAGTCTGAGATCCAAAAGCTTTTGACCACGAGCCTGTCAAACTGCTCAGCCCTATTCCTGCCTGACTGACAGCAACATTTGTGCCGCTCAACACCTGCATGTACTTCATGCTCAAGAGAGATTGGTTTTCTATCCATAATACCAGCACTCTAGTGAATACCTACAGCAAAGACACTCACTGAAGAGAGTCTTATTTCTGTGATTTTGGCTGTCATTCCTGCCCTTATATTAACACTGTACTTACCATGTTAATTGCTATGATCTGACAATGCTAAAAATAAATAAATAAATAAAAAAATAGTTTGACTCGCAGTTACAGACTGCTCTGGTACACACATTAGCTTGGCGCAGGGACTGGAAAGGGGGCAGCTAACCTCTCCCGCTAACTTTTTTATATGTTGCGCGATCTTAGCTATCTTGCTAATGTTAGCCACTGATAAACCTACAGGAAACACTAACCATTTGCTTGAGTTCAAAGTTGTGTGAACCCCACAGCACTGAGAGGGCTTTGGAAGGCTATGTGGCTAACTTTAGGGCTAACACAAAGATAGCTAGCTTAATGTTAGCCGCACAGTAAATACTTCCAAAATGTAGGCTAGCTTGCGTGTTCAACCACAATGTCTTGCTCTTTTTATTTCCCTTTTCAGAGAACGTTGACTAACGAAAGTAAAGAATTTAGTTAACAAATCTTCTGTTAAAAAGATATTTTCTTAGCTCCACAAAAAGTTGTTTAGATACTGTAGTTAAAATATCAATTTGTTTACAATATGTTTGGCAGCTTGTGTCGCAGTTTGGTGACCACAATGCTATTCATACATAAAGTGACAGCCAAAACTACAAAAACCAGACACAAGTTTTGATGAATGGCAAATGTTCTTTCAAGTCCAAACATATTAAAAAAGAGATACCACTAAGGCTCAGCAGTCACCCAAAGTCACCCTTCATATTACATTTGAGGGCAATACAGGCTGAGGAGGATGGGATAAAACTCCCTCAGGCTTGACGTTCACTGGGCTCCTGCAGGAGCAGCTGCCTCTGCTGCTCTGCTCTCCTTCCCGGACCCCTCTGAATGATTTAAATGCCCCTGGATAAAAAAAGATCTGGACCAAGGGAAGGAAAACAGGGCCACTCCTTGGGGCAGAACCTGACATATATGGCTGAGAAAATGTTATTCTGTCAAGCTGCACTGCGACAGAGTATTCTTGTCTGTCGGCAATTCACTCATATTTATGTCTTATGTGATAAGATGTTGAATTTTCCTACATTCATCCATATTCCAAAGAGGAAACCCTGGAGAAGTCAATCCTTAAGTTAATTTCCTAGTTTCTCTGGCACTGTATATACTTTTTTTACATATGAGTCTAATAAAGATTTCACATTCAATATGCATTCAAGCCCTTGAGTTGTGTCAGCAATTGAGTGTGACAAGCTCTCAGATGATGAAGCTCTCAGGAGCATCTTGGTTTAATTAAATATTGATAATTTCTGAGGGAGGTGGCACAGAAGTGCACTTCAAATCCTTGTGATTTTTCTGCTCTCGAATAATCTTTTTTTTTCCTTTTGTAGTCCGTCCACAGTTCCCTCATTAATTTAACACTACCAGACCATGGCGGGCAGAACACACTCCTCCCACTATAACAGTTCACAACAACAAGAGCATCCAACACACTGGACTGACACGCCATCACGACTGCGTTTGTGCAATTCTTAATTCCACCTGAAGTTGTTTTGTGAAGGTTATGCATCTTAGACAAATGTGAAAAATAACGCAATAATCTATTTATTGTTGCACAGCCTGGTGGCAAGAGCTGAGTATATTGTGCTTAAACAGGAAATTAATCTTTACTTTGAATTGGATCCATTTTCTCCTGTAAGCAGCAGTGTATCGGAGGCCAACAGGGATACCTTAAGGTCTATATTAGTATTCAGTCCTCTTCTGCCCAAGTGTCACCATGGGGATGTTATTGAGATCTACAGGAGCTCATATAACAGCCATTTATCAGTCCACGGGAAATAGTCTACAAGTACTGGGAAATATCAATGTCGACACGCGGCCACTCCACAGTCTTTTCTTTTGCTGAAATATATTATTATTTCAGTAGTTTATATAACCAGAACTGTTGTCATGAGAGGTACATTTGGCTGGGCAGGTGCCGCTGAGAAAACCCGGAGAGGATATTGCTTTGAGAAGGGTCACCGTGAATACGTGACAGAGGGCCATGTTCAACAATTTAGCTAAAATAACTTCACCTTTAAAGGCGAACCTTAAGATGGTAAACATTCTCTGAAGAAAACTTAATTAAGTGTCTTGTTAGAGGAGTGGAAAAGCACTTAATCCACACTGGCGATGGACGGTTTAATCCATAAAGTGGCAAGACAGCCTAAAAAAAGTAGTTTTTTGGCGAAAAGGTTGTTTTTTATTTATTTTAAGTAAACTGTATCAACACTTAGAATAAAATGTGGTCCCCAGCGTTCTGCCTTGTGACCCCTAAAGCCAAAAACTATTTGTAATCATTCAACCAATGAACCAATTGCTTGCTGTATTTACTGAGTATGCGAGAGGCAAATGTATTCAGTGCTTCACAAGAAAGAGCAACTTGGATCAAAGTAAAAAGATGTCTAACACAAATAGTTTTTTTTTTGACCTGTTGCGGATGACCAGGTTAGGATAGGAACCACTGCTTTACATAACATCGAAACAGCCGTATGCCACTTTAAATCTGCAGTTTTATAGTTCTTTTTATCCTACTAGACAACAGATCATTAGGAGATTCCGTTTTCAAGCCATATTTGTCCAACACACTGTTATGTAATGCTACATTTTCTAAAATATAAAGCATGAAAGGATGGTAATCTGTATCTTGCATGTTATGTATACTGTTGTACTGTAATGTTATGTATGATTCTCTTCCCAAAGCTGTTGGATGTCAGTGTTATGTGCTGATTAGAATCCAAACCAGCCATCCTTTTCAATTCCTTGTTTCAGAGGGATGGGTGGGGGGGATTTTTTGAATGGAAGCCCCACAAAGCATGCCTTTTCATGGGAATGAATCCCCCTTTAGCCGAAGATCTCACCCACGGACCAGGGAGGCAAAGACCTGGAACTAATTACACTAACGAGTTCACCCTGATCCCTGTAATAGCGAGTGAGTGGAATCATTAACAGCCATTTAAAACACTCAGATATACGTGCACTTGGACACACAGAGCCAAATAAATCACATACAAGAGCTCAAGTACGGTCCTCTTGCTTCCCACCTGGTCTGCACTGGTCATTCCTCATGTCTTGTGAAAGAAACATACTGTTGTTGTGCATTGGGCAACAACTCTCCCTCTGGCATTTCATCGCCTCTACTCCCGCCTGAGCACAACAACATTCTCCACAAAACAGCATAACATGCTCAAGGCTCAACAAATGCATACGGGGGTTTCAAATTCAGCTTGTGAACGGATCAGGGGGAAAAAAGAAAGAAAAAAAAGTGCCTGAATGGAGAAGGAATTTAAATCTCAATGCATCGTTAGGCTGGAGACATCACGTTGGCATTCAGGCGCTGCCAGGCAGAGAGCCCGTGCCAGCCAAACGCTCTGAGAGAGTCTGACAATAAGCACAGAGCAGGCGGCAGTGAAGCAGCTCAGGCTGCAGGGATCTGTCACAGGCTGAGGAGCAGGACTTCCTCCAAGGATAACACCGAAATTGGCTTGTTTGTGGACGTATAAGGGCTAGAGTATAACAACTATAGGGTTGAAAACAAAGACTGATGTAGGGCTTAATGGACAGCAGCACTCCCCTGTGGGACAGTGTGCTGGGAAAAGTGGACAGAGCAGCTGAGGACAGTGCAAAGCACATCTGCTGCAGAGAGGAGCATCAGTTCTGAAATTATCCAGCCATGCCATTAGTTGCACGGCCTCTCACTGATACAACTTACTGTAAGATCTTAGAAAGAGCCCAGTGCCTTAGCAATTACTCCTCCCGATGACATACAAGCACAAACTATAGTCTACCATAAAACTCCCAGTTTCTGTTCTGTTTTTCTTTATCAAACCAAAGGGAAACAAAAGCAGCGGAAAAAGACATCGAGGTGAACTCCTGTAGCATCCACACCATTGTGCATGGTGACCTAAATATGCATCCCATACAAGCATCTGTAATGAGGCTTCCCAGCATATCCAGTCACAGACAATGTTTGCAACACCAATAAAAAGAGATTACACAAATCTAGACCAACACACCTGCAGTTTTCAGTTTGTTATGTAACATTACAGAGAGCAGTGTATAGGAGAGCAGGCTGTATATGTGGACTCACCGTAAAGAGTAAAAGGCTGCTGTTCTGACTTTATCCTTTTTCTGTCTCAAGCCCGGCCGTCCAGCATGGCAAGACTTCGCTCGAATGAAGTATGTGCGCCTTCAGTCGCCGGTAGCCCCGCGGAGAGACGAATGGCACAGCACTTTATTATTCCTTCCCCTCAACCGTCCCACGGAGGAAATTTACAGTCGGAAGCAGCTTCACCCTTGGCAGGAATATAGAGACTTCTTCCAAGAGCCGCGGACAGCTCCGGTGCTGAATTCTTTTTCCTTTCCTCCCTCTCTCTCTCTCTCCACCTCCTCCTCTGCTGAGCTACTCCCTCAGACTCCGAGGAGGCAGGAGGAGACCCTGATGCAGGCTCACAGACGGCCATTGAAGTTAAATCGCCGATTTTATAACCATCATATTTGGTTATAAATCAAATCCATCCCCCCCTCCCCCCTCAACCCCCCCTGCGAGTTAGGCGTCGATCATTTAGGTTAATAACTTGTGAGCTCATCAGTCCTGAACCTGGAGCGTCTTGATTGGCCGGGACCACCGGTTCCCAAAATAGTGACGTTAGGAACGATGTTTCCTCAGCAGCCAATTATTTCGCACAGGAATTTAAGACGTAATAGGGGATCATTTGGAGAATGGGTGCGTGCAGCTTGAAGCTTTCAATCGCATTTGAGTCACATTTTGTGGTAGAGTAGGGGGTTGGGGTATGGGGGTATGGGGTGGGGGTGTGTATGTTTCACAGCAAGAGAAGCCTGGAGTCAGAATTTAGCATATGTGTGCCATCTTATGCATGCAGAGCTGCATCTGCACAGTACAGATAAATGCACTGCTGTGCTGCTCAGAGGAGAGCCTGAAGAAGATGAAAATCTCATACAAAGATCTGTAAAAAAGAACAAACACTGTTTTTGATCATAAAATAATATGTGACTTTTGAAAAACAACTTCTGTTGTTCTCCTTAATTACCAGGGGATATTGAATATCATCCTCCCTGTATGTGATTGATTGTGATTGATATGACCGGTGTTTCTTCTGGCAATCATCAGCATATGGAATCCAGCGGTCCAATTATTGTTGATTTGATGATCACTGTCACTCTGACTTCTGTTATAGTAACACATCCAAAGTTTTTCTTTTAAAATAAAAAATTCTCTTCACAATTTTCTTGACATTTAGCAGCATGTTCACTTGACAACAGGCTAAATATAAGCATCTGTCATATATGCAGGGCTTTCCCAGAGCCAATTGTGAATAACTTGTTTTAGAAAACCAACTGTTCAAAACCCAAAGACATGTCATTTACATTGATATTAGACAGACAAAAATAGCTAATCCTGACATTTGAGATGCTGGAACTAGTAAATATTATTTTTAATATTTTTTTTAAACTGATGGTGATATTCTGTCAATCTACTATATTACACAGTGGCATGTCTCAAATACAACACAATGTCTGCAATTGAGTTTTACCTCCCACCCAAATGATATGTTATCTTAGTTATATTAACATACAGGGGGATTTATTTTGCCCGCAATGTTATTTTTTGGCTCTACATGTTCAGTAATTACAAATCTTTTTTCCTTCCTTTCCTTTCATTAATAGAACGAGAATAGTTTGAGCACCGCCATTTCTCAAGTGGGGAAAAAATAATCTCAAAGCTGTACTATAATAACTTACTCTCTGCTAAGTGTGCTTACATGTGTGGTTCCTTCTGGCATCGACCTTACATAAAATTGATTTATATAGTGACAGGTGTGCAAAAATAATAAATCCTCTACCAGGAGAATAGTAAAACCTAAAATCCATCTGTATGTCAGCATTTTTTGACACAAAAAAATCAGTATATTACAGCATAAATGTGTTAGGCCTTGTACATAAAGTATAAAAACGTAAATAGATAAAATACTTGTATATGGGGTGTGACAGCTCACAAATGTAAAAGCTGAGTCAGTATCATTATCCACAGCAGGATATATGGTTAATGTATGAATGACTGTATACAGCATGTCCCACTGTGTTGTTCCACAGCCCGCTGGTTCAAATGGAAGGCCATGCATTATTAATGAAGACGTAAGTGCACACTGACCCAGTGGTCTTGAGGTGCTTGGCCTCTTTTCTCGGCAGGAGGGGAGAGGAAGAAATGGTCAGCTGTAGTCACCCCTGTGCAACCCTTTACAACAAAAGTAGGATATGGGTTTTGTTCTTACACGCTGGCTATATTTTGGCTATCGCTTACTTCTTGTTCAATGAGAGTAACATTAAAAGAAGAATGACACTTTGAAAATGCATGAAATGTTGCAACAATACTCTTTTTTCATTTTCTGACAATCTGAATGTGTTTCTCATGGCCTTTCACACAGGCATCGGTGTGTGGTCTGTAATATTACAATAAAAAAATATGCACTTCGAGGTGAGCCTTTAAAAGGAGAGAAAAAGGCGTCAAAGTATGCTAAAACTTTGATTTCACTTTCTTTCTTTTCTTTTTACAGAAATTGACTCTAAATGGAGACAAGTGGCAGAGGAAACGCCAAGCTCGGAATGTTTCAGGCTGGGAAAGTAAATAGCAATGGTCTCAGTCTCTGTTTCAGAATAATGGTCTCAGTGGAGCAGTCTGTCACTATTACCAGGATCCATTCACAGTCCGGTTACATTCTTACTCTGACAGCATTCCCATGGATTTGGTGTTGGACTTTGGAGTACTGCAATCACTGCCCTTTCAGCACAAAATTACTTGCCTTGTGGAACAAGAAAAATGGACCTGATGGCCCCTGATTGGTCTGTTCAAGTGAGCAATAATTGTACCTTTCTCCTCTCTTGCTCCCATGGTGAAGGGTTTTAAATGCAAGTGCGCCAATTAGAGAAATTACTCCCTATTCAGCAACTGTCATGTCAGTCTCCCCACTAATCACATCTTGGGACAATAGGAAGTAAGGGTGAAATCTTGTACATTAAATTATTTACAATACTTTGGGGGTAAGAGTTAGTGAGCCTTAGTGGTGCTGGTATGTGGATTTGTTGCCTTTGTTCAGGATAGCTGTGTACCCCTGTTTTCATTCTTTGTGCTAAGCTAAGCCAAACGCCTGTTGGCTCATATTTACCAGGCAATTATGAAAGTGGTATCAATCTTCTCATCTAAATCTCAGCAAGAAAGCAAATAAACGTCCTTCTCAAAACTATTCCTTTAACGTCATAAGCTCTGAATATATACGCCTATTTCGTGCTGAACCGAGTGAAACCGTTCAAACCGACAACATACTGAGCTCATGACGGAGCTTAAAAAGTCAGAATTAGCACCACAACATTACATATCTTCCTCTTTCTGGAAACACTGTTCGGATAGCACAGGATTTACTAATTCATTTAAAATCCTTAATGCTACTACAAGAGGAAGCCGAGGAGGTGACAGGCCCCGCGGGACAGAGCTGTGCTGTGCTCCAATTTTGGTTTATTTGGATTAAATTCCATGAAATGAGCAAGCTCTGAATGAATATAAATATTAAGAAATTTCAACCACGGGTGATGCTACTGTTACGTCACAAGATCGTAACACTTTTCCTTTAAGCATGAACAATGTACAGTAATCCATTCATTATCACATTTCATTTGACATGGGTCAGGTATGGGGGGAAGTTTTCATTCAGTGTAGGTTTGTATCCGCAATTCTCATATTTCAATCCAAAACACTCCTGTTTCATTCATGAATTATTCATGAATTACTATGGGTTTATGTACATACAGCATGTACACTTCCCTTATTGTGGTTGTATTTCTTCACAGCAGTGAAGGGAAAACATTCATTTCAGCATGACACCTGTCCCCAATCCCATGACCTCAGTCACCGTACCAGATTTTCTTCACAATGTGTTACTCAGCGCTCACACGTCCTCTTGGATCAGGCGCTTTCACACCAAAGAGGCTGAATATGTTAGTGAACACCGAAGGGACAAACACCATTGTATTCCTTTTGGTTAGACACTTAAAGAGAATAAAGAAGGCAAGTACTTCAGTCTTTTTCATGTAGCTATGGATGCATTGTCCCCACTGAAAGACAAAACAATAGGAGATCGCATTGATCTTGTTCAAACACTCATTCATCATTAAGCATATTCAAGTGTTGTGTAAGAGTCATGCAAGTTACAGTAACGATCTATACTATTTAAGACGGCTAGGACAAGCATATATACCACCTTTATCTAACCAAATATAAAACTGGGACAACAATAGCTTAAATAAATAAACTGTTATGTATGCAAGGTTTTATATCCAGGTTACGCAATTGGATATAAACTCTATAATTTGCTCTTGACTTTGATATTTGTCTTTTTCCTGCTGCAAACACTCAATTGACCAGTTGCTATCCAATGCTGTCCAATCATAGCTTAGCAACTGTAAACAGGACATCAGTGCTGAAGCAGTGAGCATGGCCCTGGGGTAAGAGCATGGTGTCAATAGTACAATAAAGCAAAAGTAAAAGGAACGGACGAAACAGTGGGTTTATATTTTCTAACATAAGCTGCAACCATTAGCATGTGCAGCTAAGTGGCATTAACCTACTTCCAACAAATAGTAGGCAAATATTCATTAGTGTATTATTGTGCAGGGTTACAGGTCACGTAATAACATAGCACATCCACTATATTTCCTCACCGTGTGGAAGAGCAGCCCAGAATGCTATCAGGGAATAGGTTAATGTTCGTGGCTCTGTCCTGCTCTTTATTGGATCATTTTGATCAGCATACATTTTGAGAGTGATGTTTATACATGTCAAAGAGTATTTTTATTTCTGGACATCAAACTTTTTAATCAGCTCACATAGCTCAGCTGAACAAAAAGCACCAAGCAAAGAAAGTCAAAGATCCACAGGTCACACATACTCATCGCCCAAAGGCAGCAACCGCTGTGAATGCAAAATAATAAAGGTGAAGTTGCTCTTGTTTGGGGAATAATAAGGGTTCTTTTAAGTCACATTATCCAAAGATTTCTTGGCTGCAGGGGTTCAGGATCAGCCGGAGTGAATGCTGTGGATTCAGCTTTGTTTGATGTTCCGGCATGATCAGATTAACTGGAGGATGACTCAGCCTTGTGTCTGAACACAATGTGGATTAGGAAAGAAAGATGGGGGGATGTTTCAGAACTTCACTATCAACGGGAAACATTATTCTAAATATGTTTAACACCTGACTGTGTTGAATGTGTTGATTTTTCATGTATTGTAAATTTAGCCTTTTAAAACTGTATTATGATGATACTAATGATATCATGAAGTTAACTAATTGATT